TTTGGGGGGGGGGGGGGGGGCGGGGCTGTGAGTGATTTGTTCTTGTCTACCAGTTGGTGGAGGATTTTTGGCGTCGCTGCGGAAAGAGGGTCGGGTGCAACAGCAGGTAGTTTGTGTCAGGCCGGTAGGCGACCAAGCGGCCTGGGATGGATAGGGCACACCGTTGGATACAGAAAAAGCATCGCGTGTTGTCGTAGAACCTCACGGAAAGCTCTCGACCCGTGCAGGATGGTAAAAGTTCCCTACAGACTAAAGATGTATGCAGTTTGGGGGAAGTGGGATGGTCATTCGAAGACTCCGAAAGCATTTTCAGCACGAAAGCTAGGCATTGCATTCATCTTTGGGGGGGATCTGGGATGGTCACTCGTAGACCCGAAAACGTTTCTTCAATGCGGCGCCCTCCCTATCCCGCCGACGTTCCTTGGCGCTCTGCCTGCTCTTCTCCAGCAAGAAAAACGTTTCGCAGGTCATCGAAATCCTGCAGAGGTTGACCGGGATCTCGCCGACCGCGGCAGGCTCTGATCCTCAGCAGCGAAGCGCCGCGGCGCCTGGTCCTGGGGGGGCCGGGGCTGCTGCTGCTGTAGCAGCTACACCGGAGGCTCGCAAGCGTGCGTTCTTGCGGGCGTCGGTACGAGTGCTCCGAAGAAATACTTCGCAGTCATCGACACCTACATCTTCCCACGCCTTTAGCGGGGGTGAGGCGCGGTGGTGGAGTGCCCTGCCGCCGGCCCCGCTGGCGAACCCATCGGTGAGGCAGCTCCTCAAGGAGCTCAACGACATCGTGGATCCCCCGCGGAAGCTGCCTCGCTTCAAAGTGCACCTTCGGAGGGCGCCGACGCAGGAGGTGATTTTTTTTGTTCGGGGTATGGTTGATAGTTTCGTGGGTGTTGACCTGTCACCTGGATGGTGGAGAGGAGGAAAGAAATCTGTCTCCGTGCGTGGGTGTTGCAGGTAGCTGTAATAGAGCGTGCTTTGCGTGGGGTTGAAGTGATTGCTCAGCTCGCCGCGCTGCTGTCTTTTTGTGGGCGTCATGCGTGTCTTGTTCTCCCCCCCCCCCCCATCCCCGTTCTGTTTTTTGTATTGTTTTTGTTCTTTCGCCCTGTCTTTTTGCCTCTCTGCCTCTCTGTCTCTCTGTCTGTCTCTCTGTCTGTCTCTCTGTCTTTCTCTGTATCTATCTGTCTCTTGTGTGTTTATCTCTGTCGCTCTCTCGGGCCGAACCCCTCCTCCATTCCATACCCCCGAACTCCCCCGACCAACTGCTGTCTCTTGTTTCGTGACGTGACACCACAGGAGTTCTTCCGCGGATCTTTGTCCAAGAACCCGCTCTACTCCACCGACATCATGCCGAGCGCGCCGGCGGCGGCCGGCAGCGGCGGCGGCGGTGGGGGGGCGGCAGGGTCGGCGGCGGCGGCAAACGCAGGGGGGGGTTCTTCGCCTTCGGCCATCAGCGGCGTGGCGGAGGCGACGATGCGCAACCTTCGCGATAAGATCGCGACCGACCTCGACATGGCCGATGCGGTGCGATTACGTTGCTCTTGTTTTTCTTTACTGTCTGCGTGCCTCTCGGTTGCAGGGGTATGGCGGTGGTGGTGGTGGTGGTGATATCGCTGTGCTTAGCTGCTAGGTGTGTTTCGAACAACTATCAATAGTATGTCGTAACACAATTTGCCATTGCACGAAAAGTGCCAACGACCATTCCAACAGCGACGCACATCATCTGTACCCCTCCTTACAGGAACCATTCTCGCAACCTCTGTTGTGACAGTGATCGGCTCGTTAACCCATCCCGCCGCCCGCCCGCTCGCGTGTCATCTCCTTCTCAGCAGCAGGCAGACGATGCCACTGCTGTTTTGTCTTGAATCGTTGGTTCTGTTCATGTTGAACGGCGTAAAGTCGCCGGTGGATCTCAAAGTCTCCCTTCTTTTTGATCACGAATTTCCTCAGCCTTAACTCCTAGCCGAATGCTGATGCTGAGTTCCACGGGACTACCGTCTGCTGTTTTGTTTGTTGCCGTGCTGTGTGTGTTTTTCGATGTCATGCGTGTACAAGTATATGTTTTATGTTTTGACGCGCATCGTGCGCGTTGGTTGGCTCGTACAGGCGGATCTATTGGAGCTTATCGTGTGCGGGAACATTGTCGGGCTGGACATCCCGGTGAGGGTTGTCCAGCACGAGCTGTGGCGGCCGCACATCCTGGAGACCACGGCGGACGACTACAGCTCCGACTGCGAGGCGGAGGTGTGTGTGTGTGTGTGTGTGTGTGTGTTTTTTTTTGTCAGCGTCGACCGCGTTGACCGGCTGACCAATGAAGTAACGCCAGTCCCAGCGCGGCTGAAAACAGCAAATGCTTCTCAAGGCCATGGTCTGGGACGCCGTGAGGGGATGTCCGTGAGGGGACGTCATGTGTGTGTGTCCGAGGTGACCACTCGGTTTGGAGAGAAAAATGCCAAGTTGGTACTTAACACACGCGAGCGTCGTGAAAATGTCTCCCGTGTGCCTTGATGATAGACAATTGTCGTTGGTGTCGTTCTCACTGCTGCGTCGTGAGAACACCGTTCTTTTGTCTAGATAATGGCAATTGTTTATTGTTGTTGTTGTTGTTGTTGTTGTTCTCACTGCTGTAGTTTTTGACAGCTCGCTGCTGTAATCGAGCCGCCGCTTCACGAGGCGTCTTGTGCTTCTCGTCTCAGTCGTCACTGAAATCATCGCAACCTTCTGTCGCTAATGTGTTCTCACTACCGTTTCGATGGCATCTTTATCCTCTTCCTCCACTCCCGTTCGGGGGCCCCGCAGTCGCTACCGGCCATGATGGTCACCTACCGCCTCGCCGGGGTAGACGGGGAGGCCACCGAGGAGGTCGTGGACTCATTGGCTGACAGTGACAGCGCCGCCGACCAAGACCCCGAGGTCAAGTTCGGCATCGCCAGGGACATCGCGGAGGTGGGTCCGGGTTCTTATTTGTCGAGCGCGTTAAGGATCCCCCCCCCCCCCCCCCTATTCTGGTTGGGTTCACAACGAATGACTGTGGAATATTCCGTGGTATTTTAGCTTTTCTTCGAGTTTTGCTTGTCTAGGGTCTTTGAATAGATTTGTCATCGGGCGATGACGTATGCATCTCGTCACGGCAAAGTGTGTCATGAGGGATGGGTGGGTAGGATGGGGGGGGGGGGTACGGAGGGGGTGCTGCTGTTTCACCCTCCTGTTTTCTTATGAGTGTTTTCACGTAGTCTTCACATGGTGTCCCTCTCGGGGGAGGGCTCTGCTGTTTCACGCCTTGTTTGTTTGCTGATGTGTGTCTTTTACGTAATCTCCGCGCGTGGTGTTCCTCAGGAGGGAGGCTTGTCGCTGCTGCTGACTCTGGCACAGCCCCCGGCGGGGCCGTCAGCCGCGGTAGAGGAGGAGGCGGCGGCGTCGCCCGAGGGTCTTGCGGCGAGCGGAAGCGGTGACTGGGAGGTGTTCGCGTTGGCCGTGAAGCTGCTGCGGCGGTCGTGCATGCTGTCGGCGAACCGCTCGGACCTCCTTTCTCTCAAGGCGAGCGCGTGTTTGTGTGTGCACGTGTCTGCATGCCGCATTTTTTTTTGTTTTGTTTGTGGTGGTGCTCGTCAGACGCGCTATTTGTCTGTATTGCACACCCCGACTCCAGTCGCAAAACAGCACGATATTTAGTTCGAATGGGCCAGACAACGATGTGCATGGGAAGAAGGCGGGCGGTAGGACACCCGCGTGGGCCACTAGAGGAAGGGAGGGTTACTGTGTCTGTTGCTTTCTGTCCAGTGACTGTGTCGGCGCTACCACTACTGACGTTGTCGTGAATATTTTCTCTTTTTTTTGTTGCAAAGGACACCAGGAGGATACCCCCGCGGGACGAAACAGTGAACCAAAAACGTTGCGACGACTATGCAAGCACACGAAGAGATATCTAGAGTAGAACGTGTCTAGTTCTGTTCTTTCCCGCGTGTCACACGTTAGAGTAGCATGTTATACGTTCTGCTGTGCCGCACACTGCCCGTGCACCGTGAAGCTAGCTGACTCGCTCCCTGCCTGCCAACGGTTCCTACGGCTTCGGCTGTGCTACACACACCCTTTCCCCCCACACCGTGAAGCGGGCTGACTCACTCCCTGCCTGACCACGTGCCTTTCCCACCCACACCGCCGTTGAGCAGGCTCCCGGCATCTTGTTGCACCACCTCTTGGAGGTCTTGCAAAGGGGGGCCGCGGGAGGGGGGAGGGGGCAGGCAGA